ATTTGAACCCAATCGGACCATATTTGAGAAAGTTATGGACGTTTGAATATTTCACGATAAAATATCTCCGCAAAGGAGGAGCCCAGCTGAACACGTGTGCCACGTGACCACTGGTGATGAAAGCAGGACCTGTCCCCTCACCGACTGACCCAATTTAGTGTTCTTGGCTGGTTCTGTTTCCACGCTATACGGCCACCAGTTGGACAAAACACCATTATGTGGGAGGTACTCGGCTCAAACACGTGGCCACGTGGCACGTGCCAGACCTTTGACAGCTTAACGGCTCACGCCACGTCATGACCAATATAAGTGGCCATCGGCATGTAAAAGATGACCCCGGCCGGTGTCACCGTCTCTGAACAGTGGACGGCTAAACTTGAAAAAACGGGAAAATTTAGGGAAATTTTACCTTTCGAATATAAAATTTCCCCAGAATTTTAAATTTTTCATTTTGCAAAAAATCCGAGATAGCAGTTTTTTAGGCCTTTTCATTTTGTGTCTATACCCGTTTTCAGATCGACCCTATGATAAAAAACTGACGGCCTGACGGCCATTTCCCCCATTCCTTGCATTTAACAACGTTGGTGTATTTAAGCACAAAAATTGACCTCGTGCCACGGCACGTGCAATAGCACGTGCGCCACGTAACCACTAGTGGGACAAGCTGGACTCATCTGCTCACCGGCTGCACTTATTTGGTGTCGCTAGGTGGAGTGGTTTCCACGCCATAGGACCCCCAGTTGGCCAATGTCGGATTTTCCCGGAGGTTACCCCATCAAACACGTTTGCACGTGGCACGTGCTTTTCAATCGCCCCATATCTGACCCATACCGTGTGGTAGCCGACACCCCGGGGCACAACATATTGGAACATTTTCAAAATCTAACGTGGAAATTTTTTGCAAAATCGATTTGAAAATAATTTTTCGAATTCGCCATAGGCTCAACATGGGGTAACTGTTTGTGACGATTACCCGAAATTTTGTCAATTATATTTTAAATAATTACCACCGTCAGTTGGGGTGCCAGCCCGAGATCCGACCCTAAAAATATCAGCAAATATAATTGACGAAATTTTTCGCAAATCGAATTTCCAATTTTCCCCCATGTTAACCCTATGGGAAAATGCACGTGCCGATTACCCCAAAACGGGTTAATTATATTTCAAGCGACCGATGCCAGCCGGTAGCTCCCCGATACGGGACCAAACGCTGAAAATGGCAAGAAATTCTACCGTGCCGTTTCGGCGGCGATCAAAATGTCCCAAATCGCGGCAGAAACGCTAAACACCCCCCTAGAGAGGTAGCTCAGGTTGGGATTTTCAATAGAAAATCACAATTCTAAAGAATAGTGATTGTTCTTAATTGAAAAGTCCCAACCTTCGGATAGGCCCGGGCAGCGCTTGTCGAACAGCACTGCGGATCCGAAGGTTGGGACTTTAATTGTGAAAAACCGCCCGCCCGCCCGCCACCAAACGCAAACACCGCAAAACGCGCAAAACGCACGCCTAAAACGCCAACGCAAACTTCGCAAACAAACAATCGCCCGCCCGCCGAAAACCGCAGAAAAAACGCACAAAATGCCGCAAAAAAAACGCGCGTCCGCCGCAAAACACAAACACCGCAAAAAACGCAAACACCGCCGCCGCAAAAAAACGCCCGCATCGCCCGCCGCCAACCGCGAAACGCCGCAAAAAAACGGCCGCACGCCGCGAACCGCAAAACGCCGCAAAAACGGCCGCCCGCCGCAAACCGCTAAACGCCGCAAAAAACGACCGCCCGCCGCTAACCGCAAATAACGGCCGGCCGCCGGCAACCGCAAAACGCCGTAAAAAACGGCCGCCCGCCGCAAACCACAAAACGCCGCAAAAAACGGTCGCCCGCCGCAAACCGCAAAACGCCGCAAAAAACGGCCGCCCGCCGCAAACCGCCGCTAAAACGGCCGCCCGCCGCCAAACGCAAACAGCAAAAACACCCGCATCGCCCGCCCGCCCGCCGCCAAACACAAAAACCGCACAAAACGCAAACACCGCCGCAAAAAAAAACGCCCGCAACGCACGCACGCCCGCCGCCAACCGCAAAACGCCACAAAAAACAGCCGCCCGCCGCCAAACGCAAACACCGCCAAAAACGCAAAAACGGCCGCCCGCCGTCAAACGCAAACCCCGAAAAAAACGCAAACACCGCCGCAAAAAACGCCCGCCGTAAGAAAAACGCTAACACTGACGCATTAAGACAAATATGGCGCCCTGCGGCAAATGTGGTGCAATCATATCTGCCGTTTAAGCAGCCATCCCTTAATTACAGCGCATCCTAATCGTCCAATGTTCGACAAAGTTACGCACATTCTGCGCTTTGCGGCAAAAATGGCGCTTTGAGACAAACGTGGCGCACTGCAACAAACATGGCGCATTCGTTCATGTCGCTTAACAATTCATCCACCCACCAAATTTGAACCCAATCGGACCATATTTGAGAAAGTTATGGACGTTTGAATATTTCACGATAAAATATCTCCGCAAAGGAGGAGCCCAGCTGAACACGTGTGCCACGTGACCACTGGTGATGAAAGCAGGACCTGTCCCCTCACCGACTGACCCAATTTAGTGTTCTTGGCTGGTTCTGTTTCCACGCTATACGGCCACCAGTTGGACAAAACACCATTATGTGGGAGGTACTCGGCTCAAACACGTGGCCACGTGGCACGTGCCAGACCTTTGACAGCTTAACGGCTCACGCCACGTCATGACCAATATAAGTGGCCATCGGCATGTAAAAGATGACCCCGGCCGGTGTCACCGTCTCTGAACAGTGGACGGCTAAACTTGAAAAACGGGAAAATTTAGGGAAATTTTACCTTTCGAATATAAAATTTCCCCAGAATTTTAAATTTTTCATTTTGCAAAAAATCCGAGATAGCAGTTTTTTAGGCCTTTTCATTTTGTGTCTATACCCGTTTTCAGATCGACCCTATGATAAAAACTGACGGCCTGACGGCCATTTCCCCCATTCCTTGCATTTAACAACGTTGGTGTATTTAAGCACAAAAATTGACCTCGTGCCACGGCACGTGCAATAGCACGTGCGCCACGTAACCACTAGTGGGACAAGCTGGACTCATCTGCTCACCGGCTGCACTTATTTGGTGTCGCTAGGTGGAGTGGTTTCCACGCCATAGGACCCCCAGTTGGCCAATGTCGGATTTTCCCGGAGGTTACCCCATCAAACACGTTTGCACGTGGCACGTGCTTTTCAATCGCCCCATATCTGACCCATACCGTGTGGTAGCCGACACCCCGGGGCACAACATATTGGAACATTTTCAAAATCTAACGTGGAAATTTTTTGCAAAATCGATTTGAAAATAATTTTTCGAATTCGCCATAGGCTCAACATGGGGTAACTGTTTGTGACGATTACCCGAAATTTTGTCAATTATATTTTAAATAATTACCACCGTCAGTTGGGGTGCCAGCCCGAGATCCGACCCTAAAAATATCAGCAAATATAATTGACGAAATTTTTCGCAAATCGAATTTCCAATTTTCCCCCATGTTAACCCTATGGGAAAATGCACGTGCCGATTACCCCAAAACGGGTTAATTATATTTCAAGCGACCGATGCCAGCCGGTAGCTCCCCGATACGGGACCAAACGCTGAAAATGGCAAGAAATTCTACCGTGCCGTTTCGGCGGCGATCAAAATGTCCCAAATCGCGGCAGAAACGCTAAACACCCCCCTAGAGAGGTAGCTCAGGTTGGGATTTTCAATAGAAAATCACAATTCTAAAGAATAGTGATTGTTCTTAATTGAAAAGTCCCAACCTTCGGATATAAACGGAGCGCGCGCTTCGGGTGACGCCGCTGCTGCACTCGGCGCCGGCGTCGTACGGCCTCCCCTTTGGACCTGCGTGCATTGTGCTGCAGCCTCGCCCGGGCCGTCGACGTGCAATGTGGATATTGAATGTGTCGATCGATTGGTGGTGTAGCCCACAGCGTACTCGATCCCACCGGTATGCGCTCTGGGACGTAGGTAGTTGCCGTCAGCCCCGCTGCGGTCCGCCTGCCACCGCCCGAGATGGCGTGCCGGTACGGGACCAAACGCTGAAAATGGCAAGAAATTCTACCGTGCCGTTTCGGCGGCGATCAAAATGACCAAAATCGCGGCCGAAACGCTAAACACCCCCCTAGAGAGGTAGCTCAGGTTGGGATTTTCAATAGAAAATCACAATTCTAAAGAATAGTGATTGTCTAATTGAAAAGTCCCAACCTTCGGATATAAACGGAGCGCGCGCTTCGGGTGACGCCGCTGCTGCACTCGGCGCCGGCGTCGTACGGCCTCCCCTTTGGACCTGCGTGCATTGTGCTGCAGCCTCGCCCGGGCCGTCGACGTGCAATGTGGATATTGAATGTGTCGATCGATTGGTGGTGTAGCCCACAGCGTACTCGATCCCACCGGTATGCGCTCTGGGACGTAGGTAGTTGCCGTCAGCCCCGCTGCGGTCCGCCTGCCACCGCCCGAGATGGCGTGCCGGAGTGTCAGGCCGATTTGGTCGCATAGCTGCGGGGAGGTGCGTGCCGTCTGTCTGCGTTACCCTGTATGTTGGAGAGCTGCTCCCGCCATGCGCTTCTAACCTGAGGCTTCGTTGGAAGTTCCCCAGTCACCTCCTGATGGATGGGCGCAAAATGACCTTAGTAGTCGGTCCTCAAGCCCCAAATGAAGAACAACAGTCAGCTTCTGACTTTACGTCTCTGCTATATAATTACACTATTATTTATTATGTATATCTTCATATCTCTCTGTCTCTCCAGGTGTGTAAGAAGCGGGCGCGTTACAACTCGCTGCGCTCGCCGTCAGGCTGCTATGTCTCTCTGTTGCGTCTCACTGTATGTCTCTGTATCTCTCCAGGTGTGTAAGAAGCGGGCGCGGTACAACTCTCTGCGCTCGCCGTCGGGCTGTTATGTCTCTGCTGTGTCTCACTGTATGTCTCTGTCTCTCCAGGTGTGTAAGAAGCGGGCGCGGTACAACTCGCTGCGCTCGCCGTCGGCCGTCAGTTTGCAGGCGGCGGCGCGCTCCTTCAAGCCGTACAAGCACGTGGAGCTGATGCCGCTGGCGCACATCAAGCGCGTGGTGGACATCCGCGAGACGGAGGGTAAGGCGGCGGCGTGGGGCGGACGCTCCGCCGCCGGCCGGCGCCTCTCCTCGGTCTCCTTTGCCAGCCTGGTGTCGGCGGCCTCGTCCGAGTCCTCGCTCCTCTCAGGTACCACTCCTCGCTCCTCACACTGGCATCAGTCCCGGTATGAGCCACCCTAAACCCGCACCTGCCCCGTGAGGAACCGAGTCACAGTCTCCGCCGGGTCTGCATCATTTTTAGTGGCATCGTTATTGAGAAACGAATACTGAACTAGACTGCAGCTTTGCTTATTGGCGTTTGTTGGCCAGGTGCTGAGTAAGTACTACCATACCCTCAGCAGCTAAGTTATTACCGTTGATCTATGTAAATTAGTTGTTGAGCTTGCTAGATCTCGCAGGACACGTTTACAGCGCACTTTTTTAACTGTCCAGAGCCACGAAACATTACTCCACAATGTGTTCAGTGGGCCGTTCAGTGGGCTTCTAACCTGACACTCCCCCCAAACACACCGCTCGGGTCTGGTCGGTCACACCCCCGTGCGCGTCCTCTCCTCCACTGACTCCCCCTCTCCCCGTCCCTCTCTCCGGCAGAGTGTCACAACGTGTTCACGCTGATCTGCCGGAGCAACCAGGAGCTGAAGGAGCGCCACTACACGTTCACCATCAGCTCCGAGGACGTGCAGAAGGAGCAGTTTCTGCGCACACTCTGCAGGCAGATGGCGCACGTCACCTGCCGCGCTGACGCCGTGAGTGACGGGAAGGGATAGGGGCGGTGGTCTAGCCGTGAGCGCGGCACTGGGAGGGGGGGGGAGGGGCAGCGGAAAAGGCGTGTCGTGTGTGACGGGAAAAGGGAGGGGAAGTGACTTAGGTGCGCCTGGAGGGAGATTGACTGACCTGCTTTTTATCAAGTGTAAATATTTTCAGCAGCTTGATTTGTCCTTCGTAGCATATTGTATACGGTAAGGCATTAAATTTAACACCATGTTCTTTGAAGAACGGGAAATATGGCGTACATATGTGGGCTTATGCAGCTGCTGATATGCCGAGTTTCCCGCCGCCGTGCTGAATATCGGCCGTGCTCTGTCCGTGCGGTTTCTGACCACACGTCCTCCCTCTCCGACCCTCCGCAGGAGAACTTCCTGACGGTGCTGGACCCGCAGCACCTGGACATCGAGAGCAGCGAGGTGGCCGGGTCGAGCACACTCAGCCGCGTCTCAAAGTGAGTACCGCAGTCCGCCCTCATACCGTCTCAAATTGAGCACACGCACCCTCAGCCGCGTCTCGTGAGCGCACCCTGTCCTTAGCCCGCCGTATGGTGACCTGAGAAATGAAGCAAAAAGACCGGTAAATTTGCCGCATTTTTAGGTCCGAGTTATTCTATCGCCAACGGACGTCCGGTAGGAACAAGGCGATATAATCCAGAAAACACTTTTTTGTAGTTGTTCAGTGTATGATCTGGATTCGGGGGTCTAGTATAGCCGGTTTGACCGCGGTTCCGGCGGAGTTGGTGGGGTCACTACAGACCACACTGCCCAGCCAGTGGGCGCCTGGCCCCAACCAGGAGACTGATGGCGTCCCATCTGAACGAGATAAAGACGACTTCCGTGGAAGTCATCGCCGTAATAACCCCCTGTGGGCAGCTCCCCCAGCAGCTGGAAGCGGGGAGTGAGGTCAGGGTGGGTGATCCGGATAGAGTACTCGGCCGCAGCGAGAAATGAACTTCAGTTTCTGTTTCACCGAGACGGTTTCGTCCTATATAGTACTGAAAGGCGAGTTAGGGGGCGGGGTGATAGATTCACCTCACAGTCACACACTTGTTGAAAGAAAATGATGTGGGAGGACCTCTGAGTTCGTGTTTCTTCATCACTCTTCGGGTAGAGGAGCCAATGCTCAGGCAGAGCTCAGACAGACCAGCTCAGGCAATGCTCTGCACCGTCGGTGGCGCAGGGAGCAGCCGGCCCGCTCCGCCCGCCAACTTCGGTCGGCGCCGAACTTATCTCGCCAGAGGTCTATTTGGACGTGCGCCGCTGTGTGCCGGCCCCCGGGGACCGCCGCGCTGTGCCGCCAGGGACTCCGAAGGACGGCCGCGGACTGTGCTGGTCCGTGAGTGGATGGGCCGGCTGAGCGGCGAGACAGGAATGGCTGAGACCACTCCACCGCAGGCTAGAGTGGGACAGGAACGGCTGCGTCATAGTCTTAGGATGTGTGCCGTCCTTTTGTCGGTGGGATGTGGAAAAACGGCTGCACATAGTTGTCCATGATGTGTGTCACTGGCGGATCCAGGGGGGCCACGGGGGCCATGCCCCCCCCCCCCCAAAGGCCGAAAGTGGCCTGTTTGCCCCCCCCCCCCAAAAAAAAAAACGTCAGAAAAAAAATGCTAAGAAAATATACGTTGATAGAGGTTTTTAGCCACTTGGTGAAGTAAACCTTTCCACAGCATAATATGGAAGCAATATGGTAGCAGTGAGGTTCAGTCAAAAGTTGCGCGAGCGGAGTTGACCTTCAAAAAAGACTGTTGTTGGCACGTGTTTATGGCGCGGCAGCTGGTAGTTGGCGGTGTTTCGCGTGGTGTCGCATCACTGGCGGATCCGGGGGGGGGCACGGGAGCCTGAGGTGCCCCTGACAGGCCCGTGGTGCCCCTGGACCCTGGCAGGCCTGTGGTGCCTCTGGCGGGCCTAGGGTGCCCCTGCTAGGCTGCTGATGCCCCTGGGACCTGACAGGACTGTGGTGCCCCTGACAAGCCTAAAGTGCCCCCAACAGGCCCGTGATGCCCCCGACAGGCCCAAGGTGCCCCTGCGTGATGCCGTGATGCCTGCGAGGCCGGTGGTGCCCGTGCGAGGCCGGTGGGGCCCCTGACAGGCCCATGGTACCCCTGCTAGACCGGTGGTGCCCCTGGCAGGCCTGTGGCGCCCCTGCTAGGCCGCTGGTGCCCCTGGGCCCTGACAGGACTGCGGTGCCCCTGACAGGCCCAAGGTGCCCCTGCAAGGCCGGTGGTGCCCCTGTAAGGCCTGTGGTACCCCTGCTAGGCCTCTGGTGCCCCTGACTGGTCCATGGTGCCCCTGCGAGGCCGGCGGCGCCCCTGGCAGGTCTCTGGTGTCTGTGACAGACCTGGGGTGCCCCTGACAAGCCTGTGGGGCCCCTCACAGGCCCGTGGTGCCCTTGCTAGGCCTGTGGTACCCCTGGCGGGCTGGTGGTGTCCCTGCTAGGCCGGTGGTGCCCCTGACAGACCTGTGGTTCCCGCGGGCGTACCAAGGGGGTCATGACCCATGTGGCCCCCCTTGGATCTGCCACTGATACATAATATATATTGATTTGTGAAGGCGTTATGGCTTATGCAATATGCAATTGCAGGCACTTGGTATCCCTCACTTATCCCTCATTGGGGGCTCTGGCGGGCTCCTGAGGGCCCACGTCTATCTCCGGGAGCCCTAGACAGGCTCCTTTGGGTCCTTTCAGTCCACTATAGCATAAGAGGTCTCCATGCGAGTCCTATATGTACATCTGAGGGCGTACCCTGACGTCTGAGGTACCCAACTGCAGCTCCAATGGTCTCTTATACTGGCGGATCCAGGGAGGGGGCATTTAGGGTCATGCCCCCTTCCCAGAGGCCTAAAGTGGACCGTTTGCCCCCTCCCCCAAACGATAATGAAACATAGTTCAATCAGTGCGTGGCCCAGGAGCCGAGTTAGACGGGGGGTGTTTTACCACTTCCAGGCCCGCAAAGGGACCCAAGCACTGACTGGAAGCGGGTTAACTGGTCGACAAAAGCAATGGTAAGTGTTTACAAAGTAATATAAAGGCATGGGTCGGGTGGGCTACCATTTATATATTTTTCTTTTTAGTTTTAGAAAAAAAAAATATCCATAGTGTCAGGGCTCTGACGAAAAATAAGTGCCCTAAATCCGATGAGAACACAGGAAAGGGGCTACCCTAGGTTTGGTTCCTGCATGAGTTGCCCCCCCCCCCCTCCAAAACGCAAGCCTGGATCCGCCAGTGAGGTGTGTTGCTGTCAGCCAGTATTTCAGCGGATAGTCCACATGACTCGTGGAGGGGCCTGTAGCGCCCTCGGGGAGCCCAGTTCAGAGTCCAGACGGAGATCCCTGCGTCCTCACCAGCCCGCGGGTGAGACCTCCGGGTGTGGCGATACTCGGCAGTCTCAGGCGGAACGAGGGCTGAAATAGAACTCATTATCCAGTAGTTCAGGAGAGTGATGAAACCTCGAGAACTGTTCCGCGAAGGGAGGAGGCTGGAGGTGGTATGCCGCGGGCTGGTGTGGAGAACTCTGGGCGGATTCAGGAACACAGGCCCACACAGGCCGCTGGCAGGCCCCGGACCGGGAGGTTCGCCCGGGGCGCGGCGGTCGGTCCGACGGGAACTCGCCGCCAGCCGTGGTCAATACAGAGTACAGACGGATGCAGCGGTGCCGGACTTTCCATCGGAACGGCGCCGCCGGGCATACGGCGCGTGCCGCCCGGCAGTGCCGTGAGATTAACTGGTCCACTCTCGGCCGCACCAGCGAGTGGCTTCCTTCCGTTCCAGGCCCGAACACACTCGACCACAGTTGCTAGCGGATTCAGGAGGATAGGGCATTGAAATGCTCGGCCCGTGGATGTGCCGCTGTTTCGTTATTCGTTAACGTTGTCGTATTAGGCCGGTCGGCAGTCGGTGTGGACTGCAGCCGTGTACGGGAAGGCGGAACGCTTTGAGAGAGCCGCCCACAGCGCCGTTTCGGAGTTGGCAATACCGGTCGGCCGGACCTGCGGCGCTGGCCGAGTGGGACGATTGCCTGATCTCACCGCGGCCGATCAATATCTCCGGGCCGGTGCGCTGAGCCGTCACCTGGGGCATTCCACGTCAAATCGAACAAAAATCGGCTGTTTTGCACCTTACCATCAGCGATTTCATTATAGATTTGTGAGCGAGTTCCTGTGTGGCCCCGGACATTACATTGATGTTTTTTGCACATTCTGACCACAGGTCTTCTAAATATAGGGCATCAAATTTTTACAAAATGTTGCATCTTTATATTTTTGAACGACCATAACTTTGGTTGTACTTGTTTGATTTGAATGAAATAAACCTTAATGTTTAGGTAATTTCCTAAGCATTTGTTTAGAATTGCACCTACTTAAATATATGACCTTGAAATTTGCTTAACTCTGTTCTTAAGCACAAATATTGAAAAAGCAAAAAACACGTCACCTTCGATTTGGCTCATTTTCATATATTTTATTGCCTACCATATTCTTAACAACCTGTGAAAAAATTAGAGTGGGCCATTCATAAGTATTGAAGAAAATTGCACATATGCAAACGTATGTTAGCACGCGCAGTGGAGTGGGAAGAGCGAACTTCGCCCACCCCTCCTGTTTTTCGCCAATATCTCATAAGATAAATGCGAAATTAACTATGGCTACCTGTCAAGAATTGAATTGGACATCTCATCGTGCAAGCAATAAGAAAATCGGTTCACAACTGTTCTAGTAATAGCGGTGTAAAGCAGGGATGCGGAGCCGGAGCCGGAGCCGCCGGAGTCGGCATATTTTGCCCGGAGCCGGAGCCGGAGCCGTGAAACAATATAGCCCGGAGCCGGAGCTGGAGTCGGAGCCGTCAAAAAAGGGGGCGACTCCGGCTCCTTTTCTTAAGAGGAAACTATTATTTACCTAGTTCGGTTTGACAAGTACAAGACGTAAAACAATGTGGTATTCAAAATAGCCTTGTTATACAAATACAGAAGCAACGTGTACCAATCCCATCGCCTTTTTTCTTCCACCCGTATTTAATTGATCGCATAGGGGATGTACTGAGTAGAAGCCGGAGCCGGAGCCGCCGGAGCCGGATCATTTTACTCGGAGCCGGAGCCGGAGCCGGAGCCGCCATGGCTTTTCAACCGGAGCCGGAGCCGGAGCCGGAGCCGATTTTTTTTTCTCCGGAGCCGGAGCCGGAGCCGTCTGAAATTTCCACGGCTCCGCATCCCTGGTGTAAAGTGAACATCCTGTCGCCGCAGCAACGCGGCGACTCGGCAGCCGGCGCCGACCGCTACGCGCCGCCTGAATTGTAGACTGTGCCGGGACGGAACGGAACGGTTCCGTCTTTACATCGCGCTCCCTACCGCTGATTACGTTCGATTCGCGTCAAATTTTGTGAGAAGACTAAGAAATGTACAGGCAATCTTATGGTGAAAAAATTTTGAAAATCGGTTGGTAAACAATTGAAATA